TCAGGCATTCAAAGGAATGGTTGGAAGACATCAAATAGGATTGGGAATAGGGCCATGCTGCCTCTCTGCCTTGCCTCTACATGTTCAGCTGGTGCTGAACTCACCATGTACTTCAACTCACATGTGATTGAAAGAAATTACAACTTTCATTCTGATCCTGGATTCTAATAAAGGAGAGTCGAGGATCATGTGGACAGTGGAACTTCCATGAACGCAAGCCACTTGATGAATGCGTGGAGGTTGAAAAGTGAAAAGGGCAGAGCCAGTGTGCGCTCCCTTCAGTATGAGTGTTGCTTATGTTCAACTGAATGTCTGAACCAGGTTTTATCTCTATCTATATTTAAGGCATTCTGCAACTGTAATCTGGATATGAGGTGTTGGCGAAATATCTGATCAGGCATTTAAAACAAACAGTTGGTATAAACGTAACGTCACGTTCTTCCATAATATGAAATGTGGAACCTTATGAGAGACAAGTACATAATTTCTCAGACCCTGATCTTATAAAGACCTGGCATTTATACCAAACTATGATAAGGCTAAAGTGAAGACTGGTTTATAATAGTATAAGATATATCTTGAATTTTTGCAGTTTTTAACTTCTATTTTAAATTATAATTAATTTTAAATGTTTATTTTTTATAAGTTTGTTTTAATTACTTTTTATTGTAATTATCTGCATTTTTAATCCCACTTGGAAATATTTTTGTAGTGGATAAAGCAACAGAATTAGAAAGATTTGTTCATTTTCTCTTGGAGATCTCTCTGTGGCAAATAATAGACATATAATCACTCTTGAAGAATAGTTCTTGCAATAAAAAGGTAAGAAAATCTCTACCCAAACCATTTCTGCTGTTATTGACAAAGAGGGAGGGAGAGAGGGAGGGAGAAAGAAGAGTAGAAATAAACAACTTCTCAATCCTTTTAATTCACCTATATAAAAAATAAAAATAAAAATAAATCATCCTTTCAAGGATATGAAATTTGGCCAGCTCTTTTATTTTTAATCTGTGTTTCTACTTAACATGTTTTAATACAAGCTTTAAAAATTAACATTTAAAAGTGTTTGCTGTCAGGGAACGCATTGCAACTGCATTTTCATAACATTTGAACAGATTAAGGGATAAACTGTACTGAAGACAATGAAGGCACCTTATAAAATAAGCATTTCACATAGACATATTGGAGATTGGAATTAAGCTCTGCTAACAAATCTTAACTCATTTGCATGGCCGCAACCTAATCCTGATGAAACTTCATGGTAGAAAACTTAGCATGCTTTTGCTCTTGAAAAATATTCTCTTGCTAGAAAAAAGTAGGCCTCTATGGCAAAGCATGAAACATCATGAAAGAGCATGGAACATACAAGACATCTCCCTGTTTAGATAAAAACCAGACTATGCTGGTAAATCAAAATTCTAAAGCAAGTCTGTTTGGAAATACATGCATCTGCTTTTTCTTCAGAGACACATTAGTGGATGGAATTGAGTTATGCTAATGAATCCGCATTTGTTAGGAAGGATCACATCTGATCCCTAAATAACACCAAAGGAGATTCATCAGCTACAATTTATTAAATTAAAAAAAAAAAAAGACAGGGGGATACAAAAATGGAAAGACAATAAATTAAAGCTTCAACTAATTTCAAAACCAACACATAAACTGATGTATAGCAGACTTGCACAACTTGAGACAAACCTCACCAAATGCAACCTACTTTTCTAGTATTTCGTATCCTGCTATTCTCCCAGTTTAAGATTCACAGGCAAACAGTAAAAAAAGACATTTATCAAGCTACTGGAAGTCCACCATGCATGGCAGGTGAGATTGTGTTTGATGGGTCACTAGTTTTGAGGATGGGTATAAAACATTTGACAAATGTCCTATGAACATTTGGATGCCAAATATTTAGATTACGGGATGACTGGGCAACGGAAAAGCTGTTCATTGATTATATGGATTGAGCCTTGATAAGAGAAACATGTGACTTCACATTTTACCTTTACACTGATCAGTAAGATTTAAATAAATAATTAAAATGGTTTAAACCCCACTGCAATATACATTCCCCATACTAAAGGGATACGTTACCAGTTCCTGGGGGTTTCAAATGCAACAAATGTATTAAAGAGGATTTGTTATGGGCAATAATTTACATGATTCCTTCCAGTTGTATGGCTTTGTCATGATATGGTAAAGGAGTTCTCCTCTTTCCACTCCAATCCTTGAGCAAATTTCACTAGCATAAGACCAATGGCAAGCACTGATCTACTGGAGAACTCACAGATTTGGGGGCTATTCTACCCATGCTGAGTTTCCTGACTTCATTTGGTCAGTTAGACAAAACCCAAGCAGAGGCCCCATCCATGTCTTTTTGAGTTCATTATCTTGAAACAGCAGATATGAGGATATCCCTTTTCATTTTGAGAAAAAAAAAATGAGATGATTTTCTTCCTTTAAACTGCGCTATACCTATAAAACTGCCCTATGGGACATTTAATCTACAATGGCAAAAATGGAGAAAAATGTATACTTCTTTGCCAAAAGGGACAAGATTTAAAAATAGAGATTTGTCCAAGGCCACACAAAGGAATGCATACGGATTTAGTTCTCCACATTTCTGTCTGTGTCTGTGTGCTTTTGCATCAGTTTTGACTCCTGTCAACAGCCTGGACAAGTCCTTGCAGTTTTTTTGGCAACAATTTTGGAAGTGTCTTCCCATTGCCTTCTTCCAATCTTTGGCCTAAAGTCACCCATCTGGCTTCTAAAGTGGGACTAGAATTCACTATACTGTTTCTAGTCTAGTGCCTTTAACCACTATATCAGACTGACTCTCCCCAGTTACAAATGGACATAATTTAGGCATATTTTAATATACCTGATAAAGAAAATGTTGAATCAGTTCTAACATTCATTTACTGCAATATCTCAAATAGACTAGTTTAAAGACTACTAGTTGCAACAACAGTATGTTTTAAAACAGTATGTTTAAAACAGTATGTTTTAAAACGTTTTTCAAAACATGATTTCTAATCCCAAACCAGAAGAACTGTCACCTTTTCATTTACAGGATTTTAGCAGCTGGAATAAGTAGACAAGAATAATTTCCACACTGGCAATTTATACTGTCATACATCCATTGTTGTGGCAAACTATCAAGAATGAGGATAGGCTTCACATTGCCACAGTGATTGCTAGGTGACACTATAAATAGCTAGACTGGATTTTAGGTTTCTGTCATTTCTTACCTGTAATAACTATTGAATAGAGGTTACTACATCCTTTCCACCAAAACTGAGCTTTCAGAATAGGCACAACTAGAAATGCGAAGGAATAAATCAATAGTCACTGTATGCTCCAATTTGGATTGGTGAAACTTTTGAAAGGTGCCTGAGAATTGCTTTTTACATTATTAGTAGTTTGCCTCCATGTCCTTGACTGCTATAATTAGAAGGAATAAGAAATAAACTGCAATGAGAGATTCCATCCTTAAATATCACAGATTCTGTGACTGTAATGGAATTGCATCAGTGTAAATGGTCGTTGTCATCATAGTCTCTGTGGATTAGATGAAATTGGGAAACAAATATCCACCTTTACTGTTTCTTGGATCTTTCTATTTTCTTCCCTCTGTGGAGCTGCCCTCATTTTCAGTGGATGAAACCCTTCCATTAGTTCAAAATTGCTGGAACACAACCAGAACATCCAGTGTACTATGGCTGTGCACAGCTGGTGCCAAAGAGCCTTTAACTATCTAATTTACATGATCAGTCGTGGTTTAAACATATACTCACTGGTGAGTGGGCAAATTTTACATGCAAGATTTTATAAAATGAGATAAAAATCCACCTTGCTCACCCAGTAAAAGACTTCCACAATAACTAAACACATCCATAAATAGGAAACCATAAGAGAAACTGAGCCATCATTTCAGGTATAAGCAAAATTTTTCCATTTGAGCAGCTCCATCATACGGAAGAGAAAGTCTATATAAGCTCGGGATGATGAGACCGTGTATATATTCCCATGAAGCAGGTATGTTATGCACATGTAAAGATTTTACTTACCATAGTAAAGCACATAAAAAGGACAAAAAGACTCTGTTTATTGGATATCCTTTGTGTACCATTAAGCACATTAAGCTTTGGATCATGCTCAATATGTGTACATAAACCACATGTACCCTCCTATAAACTAGCTGGAAGAAATCCATTTCTGAAGATTTTTTTTTCTTCAGTAACTACCAGCTGCCATGCTCAAGGAAGCTAATGTAAAAGCTCTGTTGCACACACATGTACTATATATACACATATCATCACTCATCATGTTTCATTGGGAGGCCAAGCCAACTTGCATAATAATGTTTTTCCCGAACTACATAAAAATTTAACACGTAACTAGATCTCTTCAACCAATTTAGCTGGACAATATACTTTGAAAAACAAGAACATATCCTAAGCCTACTCTGTTCAGACTGGTGTGAAAATTGTCCTAATAAGTGGAAATTAAACTGCCGTGAATCTTTGAGATTTCTTGCAAAATAGGTATCACTAATATGAATGCTGACAATTTGCATACTAGGGTGACCTCTGAAATTAATGGTGTCGTTTCCTTAGCACATCCCTCACTTCAAAATCCTTCTAGTTTCTTTGTTTTTTGTTTAAATTTGCAGAGGACCTTTGAAGCCTCTTGAAGAGCACATACACAATACACATACAATATAGACCACAACCAATAGCTTTGTGCATTTTTCTCAATTTCCATGAGGCCTGAGAATTTGTGGGGCAGGGTTTTGATGACCTCACCCTGATTTATCCTTGACAGTATCCCTGCACGCATGTGGGGATAGATCATGGGATGATTTCTGTAAAAAACTAAAATAGATATCTTTGATTTTCAATATAAATAAAATGCTGTAAGGAAGATGACTAGTTTAATAAAAGAAGAAGCATCAAATGATTATTCCATCATAGATAAAATCATTTAAGAGAACAACACACCTTTAATGATTCCCTTTTCTTGCAAAGTTTTTAGAGAAGGTCTTCGAGTGATAAACTTCTTTAATCTGCTTTTAACTTGGCTTCTGTCATTTGTATCAGACTTGCTGTAGTTCAGCCTGAAAACTGAAGAAGTACCAAATAAACACTGTAAATGATGTTATTATGTTTTAACACAGAAAGTTCTGCTGGAAATCTGTGGGAAAATTTGTCTATATCTTCATTCAATAGTCTCTGTGTGGGATGATCTGATTAATATTATTATGAATAAACATTGTAAGCTGAGAGTTCTATCGGCAATGGTTCATATTATTGGACAACTACCAATATATCTGCAAATTTTGAATTCATCCCCAAAGTTCATAACTCTGGCACATTCAGTCTTCCATTTGCAAATTAAAATGTGCTGTTTATGATTTCCTAGACAAATGAAACGGTGGACTGACAGTGTTGCAGTTTTGGGAGAGGCCTGAGGTTATTTGCCAAGAATGGAAAGAGATTATTCATTATACAAATCATGGCTACATGAAAGAAATATTCCTTAATGAAGAGAAATACTTCCAGTTCAAAATTAAAAAGTAAAATCTGATATACACACATCAGTTATCCAGAAATAATTCCACCTTGTCCAATTGGACTGGTTCCCTAGGGAATGCAGGTTACAACAACTAAATTTTCCCAACTTTGGAGGACTTTAGAGGAGAATTCATGCATACATACATATGTGTGTGTGTGTATGTGTGTGTGTATAAAATTCCAACTTGGATGTGGTCAAATTGGAGATATATTTTTTCTACATGTATACATTAATACACATTTAAACTGATAATATTTAGTTCTTTGGCAAAGGGAGTAGAAGTAGGAAAAGGGCATCATGAAGCTACCATTTCCAAGATGCTTAAGAGAAATCATAGTCATAAACTAGCAAAAAAGCAACATAGAAACTCTTCTACACTAGGTAAATATACAAGGAAGAAAAAAATAGAAGAATTGGCACATCCCATCATTCAGTTTTTGTGAATCTAAGAAACACAATCTTATCCAGAGCCCTGTAGAGTTTTCCTGAAACCTTTGTGATCACTCCCAGTTCCAATGTGTAAAAGCTCTATTTCCCTTTTTCTTTGGGTAGTGATGGTGGTGGTAGAAATGACATGAGAGGTAATAGGTTCAGGACCAAAATTGGCAACATTTTACACATCTTATTTAAAAAGAAAAGAAAGTGTATTTGATGAGAGAAGAAACATGGAATGAGACATTCAAGTATGCCCTTTCCTATAAAGGGGGCAAATTCAAGAAGCCTATTTGAAAAGAGGAAAAATCAGGGATACCACGCTTACATTATAAATTTGAAAGCAAGAACCAAAATAAAACAACAACAACAAAGTTTTTCACTTTGCTGCTCTCTAGGGATAAAAATGTGCCACATTTTTCGTTTTAAATAAATACAGTATAGCCAATTAAGGGAAACAACATTTAACTACATGCCTATGATAATCATAGCATATTTTGCTTCTGATTTCACTGCTGATTTGAACAGAGGACTATTCCATTTTCCCACAGCACTGGACTGACCCCACACATATTTCTGCACGTTAGTAATCACAAAGGACATATAAAAGGACACTTTTACTGGAACACTCACAGCATGGGACAATAATCCATTACATAGGGGAAAAAAATAATATTCACATTTTTAATGTTAGCATTCTTAGGATGATATATCATAGAATACAGAGGTTAGTGTCCAGTTAATGGCTGGCTCTTTTGTTCATGTATTCTATTTTAAAACTTCTGGGTTCAAATGGGAACAACTCTTGGCAGTAATATTCAAAAATTCCAAGTAACTCAGCCGTACTGCATAAAGAGAAACAGATCAACATTTCTTTGATCTGGCTACAAACTTGGTGGGATGTGGGAAATAGGTATTATATAGAATTATTTCTTTTGTTTAATGGCTTTGATTCTCTTTGTACCTACTTATCGATTTGCACATTCTCAAATGCACATCTATTTAGATCTAAATAAATCCCATTAAAATGAATGTTAAAGAATTTAACTTTGGTTGGGCAGAGCCTACATCACAATTCTCCTGAACAGCCAGTTGTACTGCTTCGTATGCACTAACAAGTCCTAGTTTAATAACACTTCATATAACAGGATAACCATAATGTAAGGATCCACTAATGTATTTCAGTATAAAGCTTCTACATCCTCCCCGCTCATGGATGTGGCATGTGAAGACCACATGTATCTGAAGTTGAATATTAAGTTTGCATCTAATGCCAAGCTTCATAAATATCCAATGCTCCTCAGTGAGGGAGATTATTAATTTGGACACATCCCAGGCTTTTTAAAGGAGGAAATATCCTATTCATACTGCAGTGGGAAGTACTGAGATGAAAGTTTGCATCTGCAAAACTGAACAGCATATGTACTATGTTTCACATTTTAGACAGATGTATGAACAGTTTTGAAGTCAATCCTGAAACATCAAATTCTGACCACAAAATGGTTGTTCCAACTGGAAGTGTTCTGACCCTGGAACCATTCTGATCTTACTGGACACTTTTTATACTCCAAAACGGGTTGTTCTAACAAACAGAGATCAAAACAGTCAGCTTTGAGGTTGGATCACTTCTAGTAAGAACATCCCATACTAACGTTAGAACACTTATAGTAAAATCAGAATGAATTTTGGAACAATTCTGGACAAGTTAGAACAAGATGTTTGTGGGTCAGAGTATTATGACTTCAAAATGAAATGAAATGAAGAAATAATTACAAAGACTACTAGTAATAAAGGGAACCAGACCAAAAAATGGTACTAACTTAGCAATACAGTAGCTTTCTCAGAATTGTCTGGAGCCAAATTCACTAATTTTGTACGATATTTCTAAAAGCCCACTTTTGCTTTTAAATCTCTACAGATTGCCATACAGAATTTTGCTAGATTTTTTGCAAAATATGTGAGTGCCTAGCTAGTACCAGAAACTAGATATAAAAGTCATGTATAAAACTTTTGACCAACCCCCTCCCCCAAAACCCTGAGATGAACTTTTTCTGCACACCTTTATAGAACTCATAGTACAACAAGACATAGTTTGATGTTTCCACCACACCTGGCTCACACAGATATGTTCATTTCTTGTGAGCAATCTTCTTAAACTAGCTATCCAGCAAGGCAGGTAGAGAGGGGGTAGAGATCCAGATTTCACCTGAAAATTATTTGCACACCTCTAATTTTGTTTGTCTGTGATCTAAATCACAGGAATGTGTTATGGGGTAATATTGCACAATTTGTGTTGACTGTAATTCCATAACATAAATCTTCCCAAAACACAAGCTTGATCGGAAGAAGCGAATGAACAATTTATTCCTGTTAATGAAATGTGATATTGGCAGGAGATCCAGAACTACTGCTGAACCCTTAAGTACTTCAAGATGGCTTCCATTTGGTATGGGTTTGGATGGGGGATTATAACACTTGAATAATGTAGGTATTTGCTTAAGAAACATTCTGATAATATTTGTTGATTAAAAGTGCAATAATTTTTCTCTTCCCTTTCACAGTTCTGTGTGAAGACGATACATATTGCATCCAAGTGGTCGAAATGTAGATAGTGTTGCTCTGCCACCTATTAAAAAGATTCTGTGGCAGAACTCAGATTGGAATACTGGTCTAAGACAATTATGCCACAGTACAGTATTTCAGTAACAGAGAATGTATGTCAGTGTAGCATGGTTTATATGTTTATTCCAAAGAACTTTCATTTCACAATTTACAAAACATTTATCCTAAATCCAAGGGTTTACCATCTGTGATTAATTCCAACCCACAGCTCTGGATGTGTGTTGGTAGCACCGGTTTTTGAAGAACTATCCATTAATGACTTTCTGAACTGTGACAATGGATATTGACAAAGCTTGTCAGACTAAAGCATTATTGATTGTTTCACATCATGTGTATAGCAAAACCAATTTTTTTTTAAAGTGCCACTTTTCTAACTGAAATACATTAGAGCAGCAACTATCTGTTCATTAGGACACCTAAAATTACAGTGTGCTAAACTGGCCCCCCAAAATATTTGCATCTCTATTGTAAGAAATACAGATGTTGTAACAATATATCACTTACCTAAAAGCATTTTGGTAGCCCCAGGAAGAGCTTAATTTAAGGTACTTTTTGCAACCTGATGCCCACCAGATGTGTTACATCATAACACCCATAATTCTTGGCCATGAATGTGGTCATTTGCTTTGCTCATTTGAAATGATTAAGGTTGTGATTCATAATATTGTTGCAGGAAAGACAAACATGTTCTTAAAGTTGATTTATTTTATATAAAATTTATTATGAAGATAGCTGTACTGTTGCTAGTGTACCACAGATATTATACCCACTGATTAAGGGAAGTTTGTCTCTGCTTTGCAGAGATAGAAATAATCCAATTACAATGAATCATATAGATGATGTTTTAAAATGCTGACTCTGTCAGCAGAATTCTGAAACCTTTAATCCTGTTGCCATTGGACTAGTTTGCAAGCAGATTTGAACTCTGAAGCAATACAGTGGAAGATACACTGATGCACTCATTGTGGACTTACCCAATCTGTAAGAAAACCTAAAATGCATAGGTACATCGGAAGATAGGCTTTTCAAAGGTTTGGCACATGATTTACAAAAGTTGTTTAATAAACAAGTATATAATGAGAAAATGGACCAAATGGACAAAACCTGTATTCAAAAAGTACACAAAATGGATTTTAATGGAAAAATCACAAGAGGTATATAAAATGTGGACATGAGACAAATGTGTATCTGGAAATTTGTGCAAACTCTTCTGCTGAATTTGTGAACTTCGGGATTAAATGGAACTTGAGGTCAGTAAACAGAGAGATTTTACAGAAATAAAAATAGCAGAAAAATAACATAATTGCTTATCCCTATCTGCTCTCTCTCTCTCTCTCTCTCTCTGTGGGTGTGTGTATGTATACACACACACACAACTCTCACCTTCACCCTACTGCTTCAGGCCTTGATGACAGGGATTGTTGGAATGCCAACTGAATTCTGCTGTAGATGTTAATGGGAGAAAAATGATTCACCAGAAGCCACTTATTGGTTT